CCCCACCGCCGCAGGGGCGGGGGCGGGGGGAGGCAGGAGGAGGATTCGGGGGCGACGTCGACTGCGACGGTACCCACCCTTGGAGACCTTGACTGGGGCCAGCCGGAGGGCCCCCTGGTGCTCCTGTGGGACGGGAGGAGGATTGACGGGGTGGAGGTTCCGGACCCTGGCCCCGGGACACGCCCTATCCGACTCGTGGTGAGCAAAGGTTACAGGTTTACCTATCTTACATGCGACACACTAACGTTTTCAAGGTTAATCTACCTTGTGCGACACGAGCAAATGCACGAGGTGATATCTAACATTTTCGAGATCAGCATACCTTGTGCGACACAAGCAAACACACCCGGTGATGTCTAACGTTGTCAATATTAACCTACTTTATGCGACCCGGTGATATCTAACATACCTCCTAACCCTCAACCTTTCAAGATCAACATAACCTACCTGTCTTGTGCGACACGAGCAAACACACCCGCTTGTCAGGACCAGGAGCATATTGTGTTCGCCTTGGGAACGGGGTGACGCCATCTTGTCTTGCAATTTCTCAGGGTGGAGAGCGTTGCGGTGAGCTGGCGGGCTGTTCAACTGCAGTGGGCGTGTGGTGGTCTTTACGACAAGATGCCGAGCGAAATAATGGGAACGATTTGAAGCAATTGCTCCGATATTCTCCTGTTGTTTTTGTTCAGTTTTTCCAATAGGTGTGTTTTTCTTGACGCTACGCGACAGGTGTCGGTGTTGAAGGCTTCAGAAGACATAGACCAGTCGGCGTGGATAGACAACATCCTCGAGCAGGCAGGAGGGTTCGGTCGCGTGCCTGAACGCCGCGGTTCCCGTGCTGAGGTGAGAGGGTTAAGTGGTTGAGTTACGCTGCACTTTTCCCCCTTTCCCACCAAACGACCGTGGTATTTGTTGTTGTTGCCTCTGTTGCTGTTGCTGCTTTTATCATCATCGTCTTCCATCGTGTGGTTATTGCTCATGCTGCTGTTGCTCCACATGTAGTGGTGTTGGTTGCTGTTGGCGTCGGTCGTTGTCGATGACGTGGCTGCTGCTGCTGTTGCTGCTGCTGTTGCTGCTGCTGTTGCTGCTGTAGATGGTGTGGTGGTGGTAAAAGGTCTGTTGTTGTTGGTTCCGCTTTCGTGCCCCTCGTGGCCCATCGTGTTGCATACATACAGCACGTGTGATGTGACCAGTTTGTTGGGGTCCGCTTCCGTAAGTCACTGTATCAAGTAGTGGCATGCTATTGCCTCTCACGGCGGCTTTCACCGCGGCTGCTCCAAGTTTGATGTTTTGAGAGAAGCTGTCGTCCGGTGAAAGCGGTGTGTGAGATTTGTAAGGTGTGAGAAATGCACACACCGTTTTGGTCGGTGCGTGAAGCGAACGCTCTGTTGCTTACCGCTACAGCCTGCTGTGCATGAACGACGTTGCTGGGCGTTGGATTCCGTTTCCACAGCAGGACGACACGGGTCATGTACTCCTTGCGGTGGTCACCTTTTCTCTCTTCCTTGTATGTTTCTTGGTTTCGAAAAAGAGCCAACTCTGTTTTGCTGTTCCCCTGTGCTGTCTCTTTTCTCTCACGCGCGGACATTGTCCCCCCTTGACTCAAATGCTTAATCGCCGTGCTTCAATCTCCCACACGCACGTGTGTGTCTGCCGTTTTCTCGTCCCTCTCCTTTCAGACATCACAGACGTGGAGCGACCTCTACACTCGGGCGGGAGTTACAGCGTCTGAAGTAGTGGAGCTGGTGTCAAACAGGGGCCCCGCAGAGGTTAGCACCTCCAAGATGTGTATCTCGCTGCTGAGGAATTTTTCGAGTGCCGTCACCCCTGACTACCTCGGCAGCGGCAGGAAACGCGCCTCAGAACGAGGGGGAGGAGGAGCGGGGGCTTCGCAGATGGAGGCGGTGCAGATCGCGGGACCATCCGGCGTGTTCGAGGAGTGGAAGGTGAGGTGGCCAACCTTGCGTTGCTTTTGGTCTTCTTTGTGGCTCATTGCCTGAGAGAGATGAGTGCCTGCCTGTTTTTGATGGGTGCGCGGCTTGCGTGCGTTGTTTGTGATGCGTGAGAGAGAGATGGAGCTGGCTGGCATCTGTCGTAAGCTGTTATGATATGCGGTGCTGGCTTCCTGTGTTTGTATTTGGGTTCTTTGTTTTGTGGCAGACTTGTGTCCTCGGTAGGTAGTAGGTAGCGCAAGTCTACTGTGCTATATTTTTGTTGTTGTAAAGTTACTTCGTGTGCCTGTAGCACTTTGGCTGTATCGTGTGTCCACAGCACGCGACTTGCGCTAGAACTACAACGGTGCGGTCAAGTCGTAGGTATCGTCTAGAACGAAGGCTGTGGAGACACGAACGTTGCATAGGGATGAAACCATACGGAGAGCTCTCTCAGGAGAGCGCTCTTTTCGCTGCTGTTGCTGGGAGTCCCAAGAACCACCACAGTTTGCCGTCATCGTCGACGATCATGCCGCAGAAAATCGAGCGCTTCTGATCACCGGTTTGGGGTGTTTTGAGTCAGGTGCAGGTGCTCTCCCGCTGTTGTCGCTTGAAGGCCGTGACTTGGCTACGTTGATGCCCCAAGCCTTCGCTGTCCCATTTGTTTTCATTTCATTGTGCGACGAAGAGTTTGCAACGGGATGACACTTGACTTCATTTTTCTCTGCAGTTAATTGATTCCAACAACACCGACAAAACAATAAGCAACGTTCCTGCGTGACCCCGGCTGATTGATCAAAAATGCACACACCGAAAGGTGGGTATCGTAGGCTGGCGCCAGAGTAGATGGGACGAGCACACACACGTACACACACACGCCCGGTACACCCTAAATACGTGGTACTGAAGTATTAAATGGAGATTCCTCAAGGGCTGGTTGCACACGCGTCTGCGCTTTGTTTCACCCCGCACGCATCAAAGTCTTCGGGTGTGGCGGGAAAGGGCGGGGCCGGGGCAGAGCTAGCTGGACTGGAGCTGTCGGAGGGAAGCGAGCTTCTGGTAGAAGAGCAGGGTGCGGTGAACAAACTCATCGCGATGACGGAATTCTCCTCTCTCGCTGAGATGGAGGTGAGTCGTTCCCGTAGGACGCACTCGTTTGGTTGGTTGCCTTACCATCTGAACCATTGAATAGGTTACATCGTCCTTGTTTTTGAGGCGGGGAGTCGGTCACGTAGAAGACTCTCGTTTGGTGCTGAACACTATGAACCATTGGTTACGGAAATCGTCCTGTTTTACGTTGCCATGCACCTTCCTGCGTCGAGCAGAGGCACCACAAGCTTCCGGAGCCTTTTCACGTTGCATGGTACAGTGCAGTACCGCTACTGCACCCGTCATGTATGCGTACAGTACCATTGCCGTACCCAATCGTGGGTGTACTACAGCGTTGATAGTGATGCTGAACCGTGTACCTTACCGTGTCCTCTTCGGTGACGTTGCTGCGGGGTCTGTCGTAGAGGTGTTGTGTACAATGTTTGTTCGTTTGGGAAAACGCGCACCAGTATTATATTGTAGGACGTTGTCGTGTTCGCTTGCTTGCCTGTAACATGGTGTTCCAACCGCAGCACTATTTCGTTTTTTCGCCAGTATCTCCGAGAAAAGTATTTGTATGGAAAATGAAGATGAAGCACTCCGATTCGGTCGTGTTTTGACTTGATGACGATTCTCGAGTCTATGTCTTTGTGTTGGGCCCTCCCTATGTACCCCCCGCCCGTCGAATATGAGAGTATGCCATCATGGACAGTGTGTCACCCCCCCTCCAATCCTCCCGCCGCCGCTGCCAGACGTTGTAAACTGTTGCGTTTTGGTTTTGTCCCGTCTACCGGTGTGCTTGGTGGGTGACGCTGTTGTTATCGCTGTTTTTGTTGTTTTTTTGTCGTGTCTGTTGCGCGTCACCAAAACAGGCGGCCAGGCGAAGCCGTTTGGTGAGGGTGGAGGTGGAGGTGGACGACGACCTCGTCGAGACCCTCAGGAGTCATGGCCTTCCGCTAGCGCACGACGTCGCAGGTGAGTCGATGCGTAAACCGAACACTGCTCTCTGTTGCTGTGTGCCAACGCTCTACCAACCCTTTCGTCATTCTCTCAAGTAGATGCCCTCTTGGACGTAATTTGTGCACGCACACACAGATGGGAATAGCGCTGTCTGTGTGTCTATTCGCACCTTGTTCGAGGCGTTGCAATAGTGCTGCGTACGTCTGTTGCGTTGTCCACACGTTGCCGGAACCAGGGCAATTGAAATCCCTTTGTCGTGGCATTTTTTTTGGAAGTTCACCGCGATGCGTGTCTCCTTTGCTTGATTGTTACGTACGTCCAATATCCCCCTCCCTTTCTGGCCCTCCTTCCGCTCGTCTCTTACCCCCTTCTGTGTGTGCCCCCCCCCCTCCTATGAAACACCGCGAACACAGTGGCCACCCACGAAGGCCAACGGGTGCTGCTAAACCTCGAGTGCGATGTTCACGCCACCAGCGTCCCCCACCTCAAGGCGCTCTGCCTCCTGGGCCTCGTGCCCGCCCTCAAGGAAAACGCCGTCCCCTCCTCGCAAATCCAAGCCCTGCTACCCCCCCCCCCTCCCCCCGCCCGGGGTACCGCCACCGCCCCCGCAAGCGGAGCAAAGGAGGAGTTAGCCCTCGTGGGGTTGGTCAAAACGGTCCGCCTGGAGGACACCAAGTCTGGGAACGCGCTGGATGAGTCCTCTACAGGCGCCAGCCTGTTTGCGGCCAGGGTTACCGACGGGGCCCAGCTGATGCTACAGTGGGGGGCCCCACCGGCCACTGGGAAGGCCTTGGTCAAGTTCTACGTCCGCGTGGGTGAGAGCTTTTGCGGGTAGTATCAGCAGCCGTCGCTGTGTTTCGTTTGTTTGACTCAGCGGTCAGTGTCGGCTTATCTGCCGTCCACAAGTTGGAGTGATGAAAGTCCTGTGTGTAGGTCAACAGCAGCAGCAAGCAGCAGCCAGGCAGGGCAGGGTAGACATGCAGCCTTCTGTTTGTCTATTGGCTTGCTCTGCTGCGTGGTGTTGTTATTTTAGACGGCAAGTATCACAAGGGGGGTGATGCTGTTGCTGTAGTAGTCGATTTGTAGTGTGTGGGCGTGTAGTTCAGTTGTGAGCACGCAAACGTGCTACAGGGATTGCAGGTGTACCTCCTCGGGCTTGCGTACCCTTTCCTTGCTAATAGTGTGTGTGTTCTTTAGATCTTCTGATGGCTCTAGCATTTTTGTGACCACGGACCGAGTCTTTGCTAGATTTTAGGATTAGCAACTGACACGAGTTTAATGTAAAGAAAAACAACAACAACAACAACAACAACAATCGTCGGATCGGCCACGACAGGTTTTACCGATTGCTACCTCCCGATTTGGCGCTGCTGTTCTCCCCAGACGTCCTGGTTTCGTATTTCGTGGATACTGTAGGCTTGCTCACATATGTATTTTTTTTTTTTTTGCTGTACGAGAGATTGTTACGATAAGCTGGTACTGCTGTAGGTCTGAATCCACACGCAAACCTCGGTCCATGTGTGTGTGTGTACAATGTTGGAATTTCTTGTGACATTTTTTTTGAGTATTTTTTGGCCCGGTCGATGTGCGTGTGCTTACGTTTTATCTTATTGCATGTCTTTTAGTTTGCTGTACTGCATTTTTCATCTACTCTTGTTGGCCCGCTCCAACGCAGGCAACAGTACCGCCACAGCGCGCGACCCTACCCGCAGCGGCAGCACCTTCGGACCGCTCGAGGTTATCGCCGATCTCAAAGAGCCGGTGTCCGCTCTCAAGGCGCGCATGATCAAGAAGGCCGCGGAGATGACCTACATCGTCGAGGACGACCAAGAGAGGTAGGTCATCGAGGTCATGTGATTGTTCAAGGGGGGCTCCGTAGGCTGAGTGGAGGGGGGCCACGCAGGTCGAGTCGAAGGGGGGGGGGAGGGGGCGTGGGCAGGAGTGCTGTTGTTGTTGCCCGCACACTGGCCGTTTTTGAAGATTGAACACCTTACACCGCAGCGTACCACACGAGGCCCACCGCACGATTCCTTTCGGGAGTATTTGGCGGCAGCAAACCACACGGTGTGCGAGTGCTGGATGTTTTTCGAGCGTCTTGCGGTACTGTGTGATACAGTAGGATGTGTGTTCGGGGGCAAGGGAGACTCGGGTGTAGTCATGACAGGCTTGGACTGATTTTTGGAGAGTGTTGTGGTGGTAATATCTCGTCCTTGCGTAAGGTCGCGCAAGTTGTTCCTCATGCACAGCCGAACCAACACCGACAACAACAAACATGACAACATGAATAACAGTCAACCACGTCAACAACGCCTGCAGGCGCATCCGGCTGGAGGCGCTCCTGGGCGACTCCAACACCCTCGTCGAGGAGCTCAAGGACGCCACCGATGCAACTGCTGCTTCTGCTTCTGCTGCTGCTGCTGCTGCTGCTGCTGATGCTGCTGCTGCTGCTGGTTCGACCAAGTCCTCCAAGACCAACAACGCCGCCGCCGCCACCGGCGACGACAAAGACAAGGACCCCCCGACTGCTACTAGCACCACTAGCACCACTAGCACCACTAGCACCGGCAAGGGTAGGCGCGACAACGGGAGCGGCAAAAGCGACAAAGCTAAGGCGGGGGACGCCGGCGAGGAGGAGAAGCCAGACGGCGGGGCTGGAGGGGAGGGAGAGGCAGGCGGCAGCGGCGAGAAGGAGGCGGGCGCCGCGAGCAAGACCAGGAAGAAGAAGAAGAAGAGGAAGGGCGGGGGCGGCGGGGGAGGGAAGGTAAGCGTCAAGGCAACGTTGGCCCTGGTGTTTTTGGCGCCGTCTTGCAACAAAATTAAAGGTATATATATTGCAGTGCGGAAGTGTCTGTTTGTTCAAGGGAGGGGTTGTCCTGTTAATATGTACCATTAATCTATTGACTATTATTTTATGACAGAAGGATTACGACTGAATCGGTTGCCGTTCGTAGCGATTGAACGTCGACGGGGGCGTGCTGCTGTACGTATGTCCCCCCGCTTGCCGATGATGCCGATCCTTTTTTTTTTTCGCCGCCTTCTCAATTGCCCTCTTCTTTGTAACTGGCGTGTTTTGTATAACCAGGAAGGCAGTCCCGAGGACAATCAAAACAACACCAACGCCGCTGCTAGCGCTGCCGCGGCCGCGGACAAAGGCGCGGTCACGGACGACAATGGCGATGGACACAAAGTCGATGTCGATGGACCCCTGTTCCAGGACCGGCTGGTTGAAGAGTCGGGCATCTTGGGAGGCCAAGAGATATACCTAGAAGATGTAAGACTCCTTCCTCTTCCTACACGAAAAAAACGGATACACATGTGTGCGCTTGTCTCTTGTATTGATTCCGATGGTGTTTTACTTTCGTTGATTTTGATTCTGTTGTTATCTGGGAGGTTATATATGTATGTTCCTCTCTATCTCTTGTTTTATCCCACTTTTTTTTTTCTTCTTTCTTTGGTGATTCAGGGTCGCGTGCCGAGACCCCGAGAGCTGGAGATCACGGTCCTCGCCTACGCACCGCACTTCCTCGGGCTCGCCGCCGCCGCCGCCGCGGAAAGGCTCAAGGCGAAGGTCTCCCAGATCTCCGAAATCTCCGACGCCGCAGCCGACGCCAACGTTGGCAATGGCAATGGCGATGGCAAGGCCGCCGACCCAGCCGACCCCGCGAGGGGGAACGCGGCGGCGGCGGGAGGGGGCAAGTCTGCCCTCCAGAACCGGTCCACGACCCCGTCCTCGAAGGTGGCGCGGGGGGGGGGCGGCGGGAAGGGGGGGGGGGGGAAGGTGGGCTTGGTGCCCACAGGACTGTCGCCGAGTGCGGTCTGGCCGGATGAGGAGGCGGCGAGGAAGAAGGGGGACGTCGAGAGATTCCGCGGGGATCCCGTTAGGGTGGGTGTCTTCTTTTCTGGGGGGGAAACGACACAACAGGGTATACCCTGGTCGACAAGCGACACACCTGGGGACACAGTCATTAACAGCAGTGAATGCACTCTTATCATTATTGGTCAGCGCCCAATTTCACCCCGGTGCGTCCGAAAAGGCCCAGGGTATACCCTGCCGTGACTACTTTTCTCAATAACTGTACCCTGATCTGTCGGGAAATGTACCCTGACCTGTCGGGAAAAAAGACCTTTCATCAATCATTTTCCCCTCAGGAATCTTCCCAACTCCTTTTCCCCCCCAACCATGGGATACCAAACGGCGACTCTTCCCGCCCAATAACAACCATGGCAACGGGGCAGGAATCAGTTTCCGCCCCTGCGAAACAACACCAACCGTCAACTCTTCTGCTCTAAGTCAACAACGGCCTGGCAACACGTACCCCAGCACAATTGCTCCGTTTGGAAACATGCCTACGCGCGTACGATACCCCGTGGACGACTGCTTGCTGCAGTCTAGACTATATGCGAGACGCACGGGTCACACTGTGAAAGCGAGACCGATCCAGCATGGTTGGGCGGGAAGAGTCGCCGTTTGGTATCCCATGGTTGGGGGGGAAAAGGAGTTGGGAAGATTCCTGAGGGGAAAATGATTGATGAAAGGTCTTTTTTCCCGACAGGTCAGGGTACATTTCCCGACAGATCAGGGTACAGTTATTGAGAAAAGTAGTCACGGCAGGGTATACCCTGCGCCTTTTCGGACGCACCGGGGTGAAATTGGGCGCTGACCAATGATATGAGTGCATTCACTGCTGTTAATGACTGTGTCCCCAGGTGTGTCGCTTTTCGACTAGGGTATACCCTGCTGTGTCGTTTTTCCTTTTTTCTTTGCGGCGAAATGACGTTGGTCCGTTTCGTGGGGCTCTTAACCTTTTTTGCATGCCTCTCTGACCCTATGTTTGCCCCTTCCATTCGGTTATCTGTCGTGTCCAATTTGATGCCGCAACCTTATCGACCAACTTAACATGGGGGCACTCTTGCCACCTCTGCCCTTCTTCCTCAACATCTTTTCTCCGGAAAATTCAACAATTCAACCACAAAAACGGCGACAACGTTCTCAGCTGCTGAGCCTCCAGCGACAGCTGTCCATGAGGACCCTCGGCCACTTCCACATCGACGAGCGCCGTTCCCTCACGGAGCTGCGTGCTATCCTTAGAGGGCTGCTATCGGAGGGGCTTAGCAAGGCGATGAAGGCTTCCATGGCGGAGGCAATCAGAGCCGCCAAAGAAGCTCAGGCGGCAGCGGAGGCGGAGGCGGAGACGGAGGTGGAGGCGGCGGCAGCGGCAGCGCAGGACGCGGGTAAGTTTTGTGAGAGTGCGTATCTGGCAAGTCTCTTGATGAGTATCTGAGATGTCGTGGGGGGACTCTCGTGGACCGATGGTTGCACATAACCAACCATATAGAGCGTTCGTCTCGATCGTTTTTTTTTTTGCGGCAGTTTTTCGCACAAACATACACGTCTTCCAGTAGTGCCCATCTTCGTAAAATGCATGCATTGCAATGACATAATAGATTCTCGTCGACATGGCCCGCGGTGTCCTACCCCAGTTAAAGAGTTGCATCGTTTCGGGGTTGGAGGTATAGGGAAAAGGAAGGGAAGGGGAATCACAATCTTTATCCCTCACTTGGTAGTGAAATGAATACCCAGTACAGGGGGGTTAGGCTCGCAGTGGCTTGGTCTGGTTTGAGTGGAGAGTGGGAACGCTTTCAGATGTCTGGCTGCTAAATGTTCTTCACTTGTTGCTCGCTGGACTTGGTATCGTGACACCGCCGACTATCATAAACTCTCCTTTCACCCCTGATGGCAAAAAAACGCCTTCCATAATCCCGACCAACACCAGCCGGGGGAGGGGGGGACGCAGACGGGGAGGTGATGGACGCCAACGAGCTCGAGGACATTCGCAAGATCATGATGAGGAAGAACAACAAAAACCCCAGCAAGACGCGAAAGAAGCGCTCCAGTCACGGCCGCGGCGGCGGAGCCGGCACCCACGGAAGCAGTAGCGGCAGCAGCACCACTGCCGCCTCCGCTACGCCAACACCGAACCCGCCTCCTGCCGGCGAAACGACGGTGCCCGGGACGGTCGATGCACCGAACGGGCTCGGCAGCAGCAGTGCGAACTGTTCTGCCGCCGCGGGGCAGGGAGAGGGGGATAAGTCGGCGGCGTCGATCGACCGGCAGGGGGTGGAGGAGGTGAAGGAGGAGCACGCAGACTCGGACGATGAGATACCCCTGCCGGAGGGGATGCCGGGTTTCCAGACCCTCGAGGAGGCCATGCTGGTGCGGGAGCTGAGGAAGGACAGGCTGCCCGGGAAGATCATCAGGAGCAGCGACGTCGGGGGGAACACGGTGAGTCGGTCGTTTGTTTCGAACACTAGTTGTGGTCTACATTTGGGAGCGTGTGTAGTTTATGTTTCCCCCCCCCCCGCGGATAAGGCAGAAGGGAAGGCGAACGAGGGACAAATCAGACTATTATAATAGGGTCTTGGAATGTATGCGGGTTTGCCACAGATGAGCGTAAAAGACTCGAAATTGCCGAGCAAGCAGCCGAAAAAGACCTGGACATAGTCGGAGTCCAAGAGTCGTGGGAGAAGGCCGGGGGAGAAATAGGAAAAGAAGTGCGAAGCTACACATGGATAGGTAAAATGGGGAGAGGACAGAAAATCGAGAGTAGAGGGGAGGGGGGAGTTGGATTGTTAGTCAAGGAGCACATGTGCGACGTAAATGAGGTGATCAGCGACACCAAATTCAACGAAAGCATGTGGATAAGGGTACCAGGGGAACGGGGAAGGAAGGGCTTGTTCGTAGGAAATGTATATATACCACCAGAGTCGAAGAAAATGGTGAAGGACATCAAGATAGGGTTCGAGGAGGTAGCAGCGGATGTACAAAACTTCAAGAGAAAGGGAGAAGTAGTTTTAGTTGGGGACTTCAATTCAAGAATCGGGCGAACCACGAACCCACACGGAGCCATCGGGCAGTATGGGGAGGGAGCCACGAACAAAAACGGGGAAGAAATGCTGAGGTCCCTTGACAGTAGCGAGATGAAGGTGTTGAACGGTAGAGTACGAAAGACAGAAC